AATCTATATTATTATTATTATTATTGCTTGGTCGCAAAAACATAGAGCCCACTGTTTATTTACCTCTAATTTCTTTAGAGGTGTATACTTTAAGGTGAGTGTCAGAATAATGCAAATGGGTACCTCCTTCTAAAATTCAAGGTCATGGTGGTCATGACCTGTCGTGCGGAAGTGTGCTTGTGGCCTTGTCCTCAGTCCTGCTCACCTGGAGGCACTGAGCCCTCTCTACCATGGCAGCTCATGACCCGGCCTCAAGTGGAAGGAGGGAATATGTGTCTATTTAGGGACAGCCCTGTGCCCCTTGAGGTGAGGTCTGGACAGAGTTCAACTGCCACAGATTTGGGAGTCTTGCTGAGCTGTGGATACCTCATCTTCCCCAAACTGCCATCCGTTCCCAACTTCTGGTCTCCTCCCTCTTCTTCTGTACCCACGTAAGGCTTCTGCCTTGTGTCCTTGCCGCCCAGGTGGAGTAGGGTTCTGTCCCAAACTGTTTCATTTGCTGGGCCGTGGAATTGCCTCCCAGCTCCTTCCAGACCCTGAGAGGTTGAAACCATCAGAGGCCGCCAGCCCGACTTGGGGGCCTGCGCATCATTCCCTCGTGTGGCTGACACGTGGCTCACTGGCCCTGTCCCTTTGCCTCCTGGTGTTCTGCTGCTTGCTGACATTTCCACAGTCCTTGTTGCTAAGACCCGGGCCACCTCCCTTCCTGTCCCAGGTCATCTGTGTCACTGGGCTGTGTGTGCCTCACTGGAGCACCCTGAGCTAGGTCCCCCCAGGCTGGTCCAGCACCTGTGGGGCATCAATAGGCTCTTCCTCACCTGCCCTCTTACTGTGGGGCGTCCTGGCTCCAGGTCCACTCTGGACTGCCTGGGCCCTTCACCCCCATGGGAGGTGCAGCCTGTCTCTAAGCAAGGCTTTCATTTCCACTTTGCAACCTACTTTTATCATATGTCTGTAGTTTCTTGAAAGTCAATAATATGCTTGAGGACGAGGTGAGACTGATTATTTTTAAGAGAAAGTGACTTTTAGAGTGAGCTGTGAATCTTTGACATCCTATATTACAGGGGAGCAGGGCAGAAGGGGTGAACCTTCCTGTTTCATGTCCTATCCAAAACCCAAACCTGGGCCCCAAGCTTCCCATTTTCCCTTCATTACAGCAAGGGACAAAGATTTGCTGAAAACCAGAGGCCTTGCTGGGTACTACAGAAGTGTAGTGGTCAGAAAGTCAGCTGGGATTCACCTCTCAGGTCTGCCTCTTCGTAACCCGTAGGTGGAATAATGGCTTCCTGAAGCTCTTCACATCCTGACGTCCAGAATTTATGAAGGGATTTTGCAGATGTGATTATGTTAAGGGTTTTGAGATGGGGAGATTATCCCGGCTTATCCAAGCAGACCCAGTGTAATCATAAGGTCCTTATAAGGAAGCAGGAGAGTCAGAATCAAAGAGAGATTGAAGATGTTACCTTGTTGGCTTTGAAGGTGGAGTAAAGGGCCATGAGCGGATGAATACAGGTGGCCTCCAGAAGCTGGAAGAGGCAAAGGCAAAGATTCTTCCCCTCGGGCCTCCAGAAGGAGCAGAGCCCTGCAGAAACCCCGATTTTAGCCCTGTGAGACCCACGTCAGACTCCTGACCTCTAGCACCGTGAGATCCTAAATTTGCGTTGCTTTCAGACAATACACTTAAGGTAATTTGTTACAGCAGCCAGAAGAAACTCATACATCAACTCTTATATCCTCAGCTAAGGCACTTTTCTGGATTTCAGTTTGTTTTCTCATCTGTAACCTGGGATGATAATACTGCCCACACCACGTGGTTGTTGCGAAGACAGGACAATGTGAAGCGAGTCAAATGCACAGCGGGCTCTCTGGCACATGGTGTGTGCTCAATTAATGATCGCTGTTACTATTATTATTGCCTTGTTCAGTCCTTACAAGTACTTTAAGAAGTTACTGTTATTAGCCCCATTTTACAGATGGGGTTCTGGGAAGTTGCCATCTTGCCTGAGCTCCTTGTAAGGGGCAGGGCTAAAAGCCAAGCAAAGGCAGCCTGACTCCCCAGAACCCGCTGTCCTCCCTTAACAAACTGCAGATGTACTGGGAGTTTTCACAAGGACATACAAGCTGTGGACCCAGAGAACTAGACTTAGACCCTAACATGAGCACTTTGCGATGGCTGATGGCATGAATTACAGTGGAAGAGTTTCAGAGAATTCAAATGCAATACATAAAATTGGGTTATGGAGCCTCCAGCCTTCAACACATGCTTATGTAGCACCTACTACACACCACCTACTGTTGCAGATGCTGGGGATACGTCAGTGAACAAAACAGAGAACCTCTGCTTTCATTGGAGCTCACATGTTATTAGGGGAGAGACAGACACCAATATACATGGCACTTTGTGGGTGTGTATATGTGTGAGATGATAAGTGCTTTGAAAGGAAAGTAAATCAGGGGCGCCTGGGTGGCTCAGTCGGTTAAGCGTCTGACTTTGGCTCAGGTCATGATCTCAGGGTCCTGGGATTGAGCCCTGCAAGGAGCCCCACCTGGAGCCCCACATTGAGCCCGGGTCAGGCTCTTCACTCAGCAGGGAGTCTGCTTCTCCCTCTCCCTTTGCCCCTCCCCCACTCCTTCTTTCTCTCAAATAAATAAAATCTTTTTAGAAAAAGAAAAAAAGTAAATCCGGGTAAGGAATAAATCAGGGCAACGAGCTAGAGAGTGTAATTTTAGATGGGATGTTCAAGGGTGGTGCTAAAATTGGTGGGAAGGAGGTGTGTGATGTTCTTGGACGAGAGCCTGATCGGATTGGTGGCACCAGCAAGTGCAAAGGCCCTGGGGTGGGGGCAGCTGCTTGGCACAGGTGGGGAAAGGAGGCGAGAAAGGGAGGAGATGAGGTCAGATTTCAGGGCCTGGATCTTGTCAGTCTGTAGGTTACGTAGCAATAGGATTTTATTGTGATTTGGGAAGCCATTGGAGGGTTCTGAGCAGGCAAGAGACGCGGTCTAATTTAAGTTACAAAAATGATACATTTAAAAAAGAGACCTGTGGTTCAAGTGAGCTCATGTAGGCCTCTGGAGCTTCATTAGCTGCTCCTGCCTGAGGCTGGCAGAGGTTTGCAGACGCTTCCCAGGAAACAGTGAAGTGCCCTGTGAGAAAGTATAAACAGCCCTGGGACGGGGTGCCAGGATCCTGCCAGAGAGCTAATTCACAGCGAGACTGGAGGATTCTTAATAATAGTGTCTGAAGGGTTTATTGATACTTCTATCCAAATTTGATTCTTTAGCTGATGTTGAACATGCCACTGTGAATTTCCAAACCTTCTGACTTACTGAGAATTCTGTTTTATTGAGAAGATCCTCAGTCGGACCTCTTTGCTGCCCTCGGTTTCTCCATCTGAGAGTATTTTAGACATGGCATTGTGGTCGTGAATACTTCTCCCCTCACTTGGATGATTGCCCATGCTGGCTAATTTGAGTGACAACACATCTGCAACTGTTCATTAGATTTTTGCATTTTCAATTTGCAGGAATAGAGAGAGGGGCGCCTCAAAGGAGTTTGTCTTAGGCACTTTCAAAAATCTCTTGGCTTTCTTGACATTGAACGCACATTACTCTTTTTTTTCACAGTACCTAACTGGAAAGTCTGGTTGACCTCTGTCTTGATTTAGGGATTGGAAGGGCATAATATCTGGTTTATTCAGGGTCATTAAAGTTGGGGTTGTGAAATAAGGAGATGGTTCTCTCTCACTGGCTTCTTTGTTCACTGAATTATATTTAAAGAGAGCAGAAATGTTGTTGTTTCCTAATAAATTAATCAAGAGATTCTGAACAAAGTTGGAGAGATTTTGAAGAAGGAACCTCATGTCTAGAATTTATTCAGCATCTCCAATCCTCTTTCCCTTCCCTCAACACACACACCCCACACTTACACGCACGTCCTCTCGTGCACACACACACACACACCACACTGACTGAGGTGAATAAGAACTCCCAAGCCAAAGAATTTACTCCTTAAGGATATATTATCATCAAATATTAGTGTTTATTGCCCAATGAAAATCCCATTTAAAGAGGAATTATTACAATCATTAATTATGGCCTTGTGTATCAAGAATGGAAAAGGAATACCAAACCTGTTTCCAAGCCAGTATCACAGAAAGGAAGAATACTAGCTAACAAGGAAAACTTCTGGCTCCTTCCTATGCATCTCAACACTTCTTATGCCTGAATTAAACACAACAATTTAGTCCGGCAAATATTTATTAGGCAGCTGCTGTGTGTAAGGCACCGTGCTAGCTTTCAGGGGTCTGACTAAGAAGATTAACACCTTTCCCATGCTCTTGAGAAGGTGCTGGGAATAAAGGAAGAATTTTATTTTATTTTATTTTTTTAAAGATTTTATTTATTCATTTGACAGAGAGAGACACAGCGAGAGAGGGAACACAAGCAGGGGGAGCGGGAGAGGGAGAAGCTGGCTCCCCGCTGAGCAGGGAGCCGGATGCGGGGCTCGATCCCAGGACTCTGGGATCATGACCTGAGCCGAAGGCAGACGCCTAACCAACTGAGCCACCCACGTGCCCCAAGGAAGAATTTTAAAAAAGAAAAATAAACGGTAAGTGGAAAGCCCTCACTCATTTATTTAAAAGATTCTATTGATTTATTTTTGTGAGAGAGAACACGAAAGCATGAGTGGGGGAGGGGAAGGGGGGGCAGAAGAAGAAGCAGACTCTCCAGCGAGCAGGGAGCCTGATGTAGGGACTCGATCCCAAGACCCTGGGATCATGACCTGAGCTGAAGGCAGATGCTTAACCGACTGAGCCACCCGGGCACGCCTCCCTCACTCATTTTTAAGGTGAGTTTCTTTCTCCATAGTGGAGACTTTCCCAGCAATCTCTGGTCGGACTGCTGTCAGTCCTGGGGCTGTACTGCCTGGGTTCCAATCCCAGCATCCCCACCTACTGGTTCTGAGCGCTTCACTTCTCAGCGCGGGGCTGTCCTCACCTGTAAGCCAGGAGACTGGAAGCACTCCTCACAGAGCGGTTCTGCAGATCACACGAGGGTGTGCACAAGCGTGTTCTCCTCACAACCACCCAGCACACGGCAAGCTCTCAGAGGTCAGCTACTAGTGCCTCTTTAGCTCAGAGCTTCATTCTGTTTTAAGTTTGGAATTGAAATTAGTCCCAATTCAGGTTCTTGGCAGAGAAGTTTGTTTTTCTTTTTTTTACTTTGGGGAGCCAGTACACCTCTTCATTATTTTTTCTTCAAGATTTTATTTATTTATTTGACAGAGAGAGAGAGCACAAGCAGGGGGAGTGGCAGGCAGAGGGAGAGGGAGAAGCAGGCTCCCCGCTGAGCAGGGAGCCCGACGCGGGACTCGATCCCAGGACCCTGAGATCAGGACCTGAGCCGAAGGCAGACGCTTAACCGTCTGAGCCACCCAGGTGCCCCTGCATTTGTTTCTTTTTTTTTTTAAAGATTTTATTTATTTATTTGACGGAGAGAGACACAGCGAGAGAGGGAACACAAGCAGGGGGAGAGGGAGAGGGAGAAGCAGGCTCCCGGCTGAGCAGGGAGCCCGACGCGGGACTCGATCCCAGGACCCTGAGATCAGGACCTGAGCCGAAGGCAGACGCTTAACCGTCTGAGCCACCCAGGTGCCCCTGCATTTGTTTCTTTTTTTTTTTAAAGATTTTATTTATTTATTTGACAGAGAGAGACACAGCGAGAGAGGGAACACAAGCAGGGGGAGAGGGAGAGGGAGAAGCAGGCTCCCGGCTGAGCAGGGAGCCCGACGCGGGACTCGATCCCAGGACCCTGAGATCAGGACCTGAGCCGAAGGCAGTCGCTTAACCAACTGAGCCACCCAGGCGCTGCAGGACACCTCTTCATTTCCTCTTACAAAATGTGGGTTTATAGAAATGTTCAAAGAGAACAAAGAGCAGCATTGTCCCTAAATCATTACTGCTACCCCTCCCTGCCCAACACACACTCATTGAGCTCATCTTGTCCCCGTAGGACACGCCCTTCAGTCTGCGGGCGAATCCCATTTATTCCTGTCTCCATGTTGTTCACATTCTTCCCCACCTGTTTCTGCTTTCATAATTCCTTACTTCCTTTCGGCTCCATACCTTTGTTGGTGTAATCTTTACCCATATATATCTTCCCTATAGGAATATCGCCCACCATTCCTACAGTGCGCATGTCTGCCATTCAAACACTATTCATGGCATATGGCCTGAAGATTGCTCTTTTGTTATTCTAATGCCAACTAGAGGGTCCCTGAAGCCAGACTCGCTTAAACTTGGTTGCACCTTCTGCGGTGGATAACACTGTTCTAAGCCAGTTTCCTTATCTGAAAATAGGAATAATAATAATAATAATAATAATAATAATAATAATAATAATAATGCCTGTAGAGTGGCTGGGAATGTTAAATGAGTTAATACTAGTTCCCAGAGAGAGTGCTCATTCAATAAATTGTAGCTATTATTTTTTGAAAGGCTGACCCTTCTGGCTGGTTATTTATAGTTTTTATACTCATCGGCAATAATTAAAGTGCTTTATTTTTGCATGGAATTTTGCAATTTAAAAACAACTTCCATAAAAAAAAAAAACTTCCATGATTAGTCTCTGGGTACGAATTTAGTAAGCTATTTAAAATGTAGAGAAAATACAAGGGATATCAATTAAAGACAAATAGAATAATCTACATCATGGATTTTTCTTTTTCGTGTTCATGCTAAACCATGACTGACATTTTGAAATTAGTCTAGATTTATCAGACAAAACTGAGCCAGGCAGAAAGCACTCTGTTGCCTTTTGCTTAACGTTAAAATAGTCAGTTCCTCCTGCCTCTTCAGATTCCTCTACACACTTCATGCTCATTAGATGGGTCCCAGACAGGGAAAGAAGGCTCACTTCCTAAAAACCGAAAAGAAATTCTTGCCCTTTCCCCTTAAAATCTAATTATACATGCCTGCTTGGTAAAACACATGGACTATATTTTATGAGTCGTTGGCTTGGTATGATTTCACTTCAGTGTAACTTTTCAGTATTACTTTTTAACTGTAACAAAAGTCTTCTGTTAAAATGAATTTTTATTCCTCTTCTATCTAAAATTTATTCTTTAAATTTAACAAAGCCCCAAATTATAAAAATGTACTCAAGGTTAAAATTAATTTTTTAAAGCACACTTAAGATAATTAATGATATTTATGAAATACATCTTGTCAAATATCAAATTGCTCAGAACTTATGTTAGTTCCTTTCTATTTTTCAACCTTATTTTGGTACATTGGAGACTGAATGATAAAAGGGTGATGAATCAGTGATAATGAAAAAAATCAGTAAAATAAGTTTTTAGGGGTCATGTAGATCAAAGCACGAGATGGTTGTGCATTTTTACTATTCAGTAGGTTGCATTAATAGTGTAAAGGTTAGCAGATTGTACTTTGAAACTAGTTATATTCTGATAAAAATTGCTTATCTAAAGCGCAATTTATGTTTAACTTCCCATTAGTATTATTCCCAACTATTATGGGTATTTTAATATTCTGGCTAAATGAAAGAAGTTGCAGTGTCATATGAAGATGACTAATTTTCAAAGAATTAAAGTTTGAATACATGGTAAAAGAACATTGATCATAAATTGAACAAAAAGTAGATTACCAAATAACCTGATTATATACATATTTTTTTCTTTCTTAATTGTAATTTAGAGTTCCCCCATGTAATTTTCTGTTTTCGGATGCATCTTAAAATACATCAATCTGGACAACATAGCGAGAATTTTTTTTCCTCTCTTGTAAAGCTAGTATTAAATTAATGGTTGGTCTTAAAATCAAGGACCTCTTAGGATCAAGAATTAGTTAAGATAAACAATAAATGTAGTAAGACTACACATAGTTTTTCATCTTCTCTCTGCTGGTCTGTATTTTCTATGATGAACATGTATTTGTACAGTAAGAAAAAACAAAAGAAAATATAAACATTATGAAAAATTTCACCTCTTTCTTGCATGGTGTTAAAAAGAAGAGAACAGGCCCCAAATGGAGTCACTTATACTAAACTCCATGTCACCAAACAGACTTAACTTAATTATAATTTTGGCCTCTTCCAGAAATGGAATTTTAAACCAGTCAACCAGGAATCACCTGATCAGCATTGGTTAGGTCATCTGCCTGATAGAACCCTGCCATTCTCTAAAGGAAAGTGACCTTGCAGGAACGAGTCCACCTGTTTGTCTGGTGTAACTTCCTTGTTCCTGCTCCCTTCTGTCTACACAAGTCTTCCATTTCGTACAGCGCCTCAGAGCTCCTTTCTGTCTGCTGGATGGGATGCTGCCCGATTCATGAATCATTGAATAAAACCAGTAAGATCTTTCCAATTTACTCAGTTGAATTTTGTTTTTTTGATGGTGGGGAGAGGATGATTTAAATTCAGTTTTTGGCCACCTATTTTAAATATGAAATATTTTAGACACCAGTAGACGGTGTGTAGGTCCCTGTGTTAAGAGCTATCAGATTGGGCGCCTGGGTGGCTCAGTTGGTTAAGCGACTGCCTTCGGCTCAGGTCATGATCCTGGAGTCCCAGGATCGAGTCCCGCATCGGGCTCCCTGCTCAGCGGGGGGTCTGCTTCTCCCTCTGACCCTCCTCCCTCTCATGCTCTCTGTCTCTCATTCTCTCTGTCTCAAATAAATAAATAAAATCTTTAAAAAAAAAAAGAGCTATCAGATTACAGAGAGAAGTATGACGTGGCCTAGCCTCAGGGATCTGGAACCAATGGAGAACTCTGGAAGCACTAAATGGGATGATGAATTCTAATATGTGCAAAACGTGTTCAAGGACAGGCGAGACTGAGTGAGCAGTCGGGGGAGACTATGCAACACTTCATGGAGGCTGTACATTGAAATATTTTCTTAGTATTAGAAAAGGCCTCCAAAATGTCATCATGTAAGTTGAGTAGTTGGCTACTTCGTTAAAAACAAGAACTCTTGTAAGATTGGATGGATCTCAAAATGGAATAGATTTGATTACAGTACATCTTGTTATAAACCTAGCAATAAAACAAAATTCAAACAACATTCCTCAAGAAACAAATAAAACAAGAACAAACCGATATAGAGCAAGTATGTGATAAAGTAACATCAGCTGTTAATGCTATCTTTTGACCTCAGAATTATTTTAAAAAACCTGATCCGATCATATATATGTTTTTTATTAGATTGAACCTGATAAGGTGCCTTGCATAGAGTAGCACTAGAGGACATTTATATGTATGACACTTATCATAATATGTCATTCTATCGGTATTAACATTATTACGCAATTGGCCCCAGCGTTACTCAGTACTGTGCATTTGCTCATATCCTGCTCTAGAAATTAGTAAAATATTAATGCATTTCTTTTAAGCACACAACAGCTATCTGTCCTTTTGACGTTAACAAGTCATCTTGTATAAACATACTTTCCCAGCGTAATCAGACTCGTCGGTAATTTGCCTCCTCCCCCCCAGGCCATCCGGAAATTTTGTCAGGCAGCAAAAGCTCCCGAACACTGTGGTTCCCCCCATTCCAATGTTTATTTTATAATTTTTTTTTCTTTTTCTTTTTCCTCTTAAAAAAAAAAAAAGTTTTCTGGTGTTCAAAACTCAGTGTAATTCCTGATTCCCACTCACATGAGCAAAGGGTTCTCTCCATGTTCTTTATATTCCCGGAGGCACCTGCGGTAGAATTGGAGAGGGCGGGTTCTGTTCTTTCCCTGCAGCCACGGGGTGGGAGCCCCCTGCCAGGGCCGCCTGGGTCTGCGCTTGGGGTCTGCGGGTCCACAGTGCCAGAGAGCTCCCTCCCAGGGCACGAAGGCTGCACCTCTGGCAGCGAAGCCTGTGCAGACACAGGGAAGGAAGGGTGGCCGGGGAGAAGAGGAAGCTTACCTGTCCTGTCCTTCTGTCCTCCAGCCTGGCCAAAAGGGACAGCGGCAGCGCAGGGCCAAGCGCTCTGTGGGATGGCCCCAACTGCGTATGCAGCTGCTGGCCGGCTGCCGCCTCTTGTCAGCAGGGCTATAAATAAGGCACTGTCCAGAGCTCAGGAGATAAGAACCCAGCCCCTTGCTCCCGAGAGCCTTTTAAGGTATCCAAATTAAAGGAGCCTCGGCCCCCAGATGGGCAGGGGCTGCCAGCTCCCCATTTGGCCTGCCCGCTTCAAGGACATCCCTGGCCCCACACATACTCCAGCAATCCCAAAGAGCAGTGGAAGGAGAAAGCCGCAGTGCTGGGAAGGTATCTCACTTGATCAGACGAATGGCAGAGCCTCTGGGCGGGCTGCCCGTGGCTTCCTCAGATTAGGGGGCTGGCATTGAGGCACAGAAGGGGGAGGAGACTCCCCCCCACCCCCCGCCACACCACAGTGTCTCTGTGATGTGGTGTGGATTTTCAGTGCTGCCTCGTGGAAGGAGCACACCAACCTTCTACTCTGGCTTCGGGGCATTTGTGTGGGTGAAAAAGATTCCAGGGAAGATTCTAAGGGATTGGCTTCATGCTGGACATTGGGGAAGCTGGGAGTGGAGTGCACTTAGAGCTCTCTCTCCCCACCCTCCCCACTCACGCATGACAGGGGTATTCTTGGGCTACAAATCACAGAACTCTTATGGAGCTTTTTTTTTTTTTTTTTTAAGATTTTATTTATTTATTCATGAGAGACAGAGAGAGAGGCAGAGGGAGAAGCAGGCTCCCAAGGAGCAGGGAGCCCGATGCGGGACTCAATCCCAGGACGCTGGGATCATGACCTGAGCCGAAGGCAGACGCTTAACCATCTGAGCCACCCAGGTGCCCTCTTATGGAGCTTTTTAAAACCATATGCTAGAAGAGGAGAGAGAAGACTAATTTGGGGGGGCAATCATACCTTATTCACCCTTAAATTTCTTATTTCTGGAAGGCATTGCATCTGTGGCTGGAGGTGGGGGAAGGCCAAGCAGGGTCGGCTGTTTGGCAACTGCTATCTGTGTTACTGACAGACGTTCCATGTCTGGGAATTTATCCTGAGAAAGAATCGGGGGTGTGGGCAGAGATACAGCTCCAGGGACATCTCCTGCAGCTCTTTCAATAATTGGGGAAAGTTGAAAACAACCAAAATGACTAACAACAGAGACTGGTAAAATGAAGAATAGTATTGCCATAAAGGAAACACTGCAATCTTTGGAAATGCCATTGAAGGATATTTAATAACAGAGACCATGGTATGACATATTGGTAGTAAAAAGGCAGGTCAACTTTAAGGGAAACTTGACGTACACACAGTTCCCTCACACATACACTCTGAAAGGATAAGCGTTCAGTGTGGAAATGTGCTTCTGCCTGGATGATAGGATTATGGCTGAATTTCTTCTTTGGCTTATATGTCATCTCTAAATTGTTTTCAATGATCTTGCATTGCTTTTATAATAAGAACATTAGTTTCATTTAAAAACCAAGTTTCTGAAAATCAGAAGAGAACTTCCTGTGTTTCTGCATTAATGAACCCAAATTTATTTTAGGATTACAGAATTCCTTGGGGTCTCCCCAGGCTTTGGAAAGACCCATATTGGGGTCAGCAGCTTTTTTTTTTCTCATGCCAATATCAACAGTATGATGTAGAATGCTGATAGAGTCCCTGAGTGCCCCTATCAAGGCAAAGGTAAGTCAAGAAGAGAGGAAAAAAAAAAAAGGAGAAAGAAAAAAGAAAAAAAAGCACAAAGAGAAAGAGGAGTCTGAAAATAAGAAAGTTTAAGTAATAGAAGTGACAGAAAATACCCATACACCCAGATCACCTTTATCTGACCTAACATGTCCCAGTTTATGGTCTGGCCAGGACATAACAAAGGCTCTATGTGTATTTAAAGAATATGTACGTCCTGAAGATGCCTTGCTTTTTGATTATATTTGACTTAAAGAATGACCTCTAACCCTGAGCATGCAATAGGGGAGCACATACCACTGATACGTGTAATTGGAAGAGGGGTTCCCCTCCCACTGGGCTCCCAGGGTTAGAGGTAGAGAAGGACCCTAATGGTCTAATGACTACCCTTCTGCATGCAAACACTAGAGGGGAGTCCCCTCTATGACTAGGACCTGGTCGATAGCTTTTGTGTTGAGTTGCTGTTCCAGGAATAGGCTCTATATCAGTTACCACCCAGGGACAGAGCCTGGAGTCAGAGGCTGAGCAACCCTCTGGACTGTTCTTTGGAACTTGCGGTGCCAGAGCTTTTCCTGGATAGTCCCCCTAAAGCCCCATCTGTGTTAGCTCTAACCACCTTCCTCGGATTTCGGCTGGCTTACTCACAGGCCTGAGCCCTGCAGACATCTGGTGAGAAGGGTGACTCTGGCCTCAGGTCAGCCCCTGTGCGGGGGCATATAGTCTCCCTACACAAGGGAAGAGGTCAGTGCAGGGGAGGCTTGAAGGGGCTCCTCTTGGACAAAGCCAGGCCTGAGGCAAGGCACTGAGGCCCTCATAACTGGCAGCCTGTCAAGGCTGGTGTATGGGCCCATCCAACTGTGGGGTTCTCCCTTGACCTCCAGGAAGAGCTGTTGGAAGCATCCTGGTGTGACATTCTCCCTCCTCCATGCTGACTCACCCCCACCCCTTCAGAGGGGCCGACTGCATGCACACAGTCTTGGGGTGGGGTGGGACATGATGCACCATGCCTGCTGAGAGTCACCCCCAGAGCAGACATGTGTAGGTGGGAACAGCATCTGCCTTTGGGGGCTGTGGCCCAGGATCTGGGCTGTGGTCAGGACTAGGTGTGACCGGGAGAATTGTCATGGATGTGGCACTTTCTTCTCTTCTTGGTCCTGTTGCCAAAAACTCAGAGACCCAAACCAAAGGACATATGGGTCTGGAACAAACATTTTGATTCAATTCAGCAAATAGGCATTGAGTCGACCCCTCAGGAATCAGAAACTGGTAGGCACAGGATAGCAAGAAGATGGAGACCCCCAGATGGCCTGAGCATTCTAGGAACTTGTCCCTGGCCCCGAGCCTGGTTGAGGGCCCCCCACCAGTGCCAGCATCTCAGTTCCCCGGCCAATGCTCACAGGGTTTTTGCCCCTGGGGTCATGAAATCTCATTCATCCATCAGTACTATTCATTCTCTCTCTCTTTTTTTAAAATAAATGTTCACTGAGGTTCTTCCATGTTCCAAGCCCCGTGGCTAGATCCTAGAGCCTCAGCTCTGAACAAAATAGAAGAGCCTCACCTCGAGGAGCTTACAGTCTATCATGTGTAGTATTCACACATCGTGTGAGCCTAAATCCCTCACCTTGAATCTGGAGCATCTTTCCCTCCTGGTCACTGTAGATGCCATTTCTTGTTGCTGCCCACAGTCATTGTCACCAATGCTCCTTGCTTCATGTTGGACAGGCTTGATCTTTCTGTGAAGCTGGTTCTGCTACTATTGGAACCTACCAGAGCTGAGTTTTGTAAGTGGGATGGGGTCCCTCTCCCCACCACCTGAGTGCAGCGCCAGGCCCTGCTGCTGAGCCTGGCACCATGGAGCCCGGAGCAGGAAGTATGTGCCTCTCATCTGTCTCCAGGGCCAGTAAGGCCCACCTCGCCTGATTGCAGCTGGGACTGCCTTTTCCTCCTCACCCTCCCTGGGGTGGGAAGGCATGGGGAGTCTATGCACACACCAGCCCCTAGCTGGAGGGAAGTAGTCTCTTTTACCCCACACAGATTTTTCCCTTGTTGGATTAGTCGATCCTGTGACAGAGGAAGATGAGCTAATCAGGGAGCCAGAGAAGGACGAGCAGATCAGGAGAGGAAGCTCTTATCAGAGGAGGAAGCAGATCAGGAGAGATAGAAGTTTGGAAAGAACGGTTTCAGGAAAGAGGGCATAGAACAGCATTAACTCTTATAGGCTGGGAAGAGCAAGGGGGCAAGAGCCCTGTTTTTCTATACTGAGAAGTCCTCAGATGTGGACCCATGTGTGTCAGGGGTGCAATGGAGAGTCATTTATGGAATCTGTTGCCTCCAAAGTGTTTATCCACAGAAGCTAGGCCGACGAGCCTGAGACCTGCTGCCGTGTCCTTGTTTTCAAATGAATACCTTTCGTGATCTAACTATTCCATTTTCTATCACTGAAATCTCTACATAAACATTCCGTCTGCACTTCCCAGAATCATAAACAGGCAAGAAAGGCTGCAGAAGTGTCGCATAGTATAAATACGTCTGTGAAAGGCTCTGGAAAGTTTCAACCTGAAAAATAGCATCACCATTTGTTGGTGTGATAGAGTCCAGGCCTCTCTTTGTTTTGAACTTGGCTTATGCTGAACGAGTTTGGGTGTTGAAATAAACCCAGTTACCCAGTCAGGAAGCTAACTCAGTAATGACTGGGGTCTTAGGGTGCTGTTGACTAGCGCAGGTGCAAGAAGAAAGCACGTGGGGGCCGGGAACCAGCCTAAGCTCTTCTCAGCTAAGATCCCCAGGATCCAGCCCATCGCTCTGCTTCAAGACACATGACAAAAATACACACAGAACGCTGCACGACAATATGCCAGCAGGTTGGCACTGCCCCCAAACTGTAGATGCTCTGTGCTTTCTCTCCCTCAAGTTCCTATCAGATCTGCTCTTGGAATCTTTATCCCATGGTTCATATTGTTGATAGCAGCTGGGTAATTCTTTGCCTAAAGTTACTTGTGCTCCAGCAGGGATCGACATTTTCAATCAAAGGGACGAAACTTTAACCGGTGACATGTTGAGCCATCATTAGAAGCTGAAGGAGAATTGGGGGACCTTCCTAGCCCCCATATCTATACATGAAGCCACGCCCAGGAGTGCTCCATCTGTTGCTGTAGATAATGGGCTGTCATCTGGTCAGCAAGCTTATAATTCTAGAACCATTTACAAATACCATGTGGTGGAACCATTGGAGACACCTCACCCTCCCTGTCCCCCCAAGAGGTGACGCTCGGACTCCTGGGATAGAAGGGCAGAGGAACATCTTCTGTTTGGCCCTCCCGACCCTCTGCTCTGTGCCCAGGTGGCTGATGTGAACAAGCATCAAAGGGCTTCTTTGTTCTCTGGCTTCTGCTTGGGTTTAGCTGATAGAAGGAACCAGCAAGAGATCAGAAGACAGGGCAGTGAGGTCAGGTCCTTGGTGCTTGGATCTTCCCTGCAGGGATGCTGTGGGTTAGTTGTCTCCCTCTGGGGAAGGCCACGGCACCTGTTG